GCAACGCAGGTTTTACTTCGGCCCACGATGACCGCCTTTGCGCTTTCTCAGCAATACTCTTAACTCCCCTTGTATACTTTGCCCGTCCCTTTTTTTCTCTCTCTGTATATGTAGGTATATAGAGGTTTTTTTTTCCTGTTTATAAAGGTGTATGCAGTTTTGCGGCCCGACTTTTTGTGGTGTTTCCTCCGCGTGTTCCAGTTGGATGAATCCGGGCGTCACGAGTGCCACGAAACCCAACAGAGCCTTGGAGGCCTCACTGTGACTACCTATTCCGTCTGCGCGGCTGTGTTGTTGCTTGCCCCCGTTGTTATCTTTGCTGTAGGGGAGGCGGAGAAGACGGCGAGAGGGGTGTGTTTTGTCGTGGGTGAGATCGCATGCGCAGGAGCTGCGTGTGTGTCTCGAGGAGAGTGAGTGAATGATGGAGGGGAGGAGGCGCAGCAGGGGCACATGTGTGTGGAGAGCCAACCACCGTCGTGCGCACACGCAGCACACGCAACGGCCTCTTTTTTCATGTTAGCAGTGAATCGAAAGAACACCTTGCTTTTACTTGTCTTTTTTTTTTGCTTTTCCTTTCGTTTTTGTTTGTTAAACGGAGCATTCGTACACTGTTTTACTGCAGCGAAAATGAAACAGCACGGTGGGGGGTTGTGAGGTGGGGGGATGGGGGCCAACGTTGCTGCCGCCCACAGCGGCCGCCTTTATGTTTACTGACTAGCCGTGGCCCGTTTCTTTGCGCCTGCCCTGCCGCCGGACTTCGCTAGGCGCGTGGGTGGGGTGTTGGACAGCCGCTTTGCCTTCTTGGTGCCGGAAACCTGCACGACGCGGCTGGCGCGCTGGGCGGACCCCGTCATGCTGCCTATGCGCTGAGGCGCCGCTGCACGTGCCGTGGCCGCTTTGCCCTGCGGCTGCTGCTCCGTCTCCGCCGCGGCGTCGTTGCAGCCAAAAACAAACTCCTCCATTTCGTCACCGTCGGTGTGGGACGCCTCCGCTGCGCTGGCGCCGTGGTCCACGCGAAGGCGCCGCTCTTCCCCCTGCGGCGCGTGCTCGACGTCCTTCACGGTGAGGGCGTGACCGGCGACCGGCGCGGCGGCGTCGAGCAGCTCAAACTGCTGCGTCATCGGGTGCGGCGCGTTCGGGTCGCTCTTGCCGTGAAAACACGTCTGCGCGGGCCGCAGCTGCAGCGGCTTGTTGAAGTCCAGCGACTCGCGGAGGATGTCGTGAAAGTTGTTGTTTGGCCCTTTGCAGTTCTGCGGCACATTCATGTCCATTTCGGGGTTCACGAAGTGGAAGCGGGTCTCGGGGTCCTCCATCGGGACCGCGCTCAGGCCGCCCTGCGCCGCAAGGCGGAGTTTGTCGTTCAGGCGCCCCACACGCTTCTCTACGACGGCGGCCACCTCCTGCGCGCGCTGCCGCTTGTGCAGCTTCTTCCACTTCGAGCGCGAAGACTTCGCCATGACGCGCCGCCCCTGCCGCCGCTTGTCCTCCGCGTTGTGTGTGCGTAAGCCGCTGCTCTGGGCGTGGGCGCGGCAGGGGGGAGTGCGCACGCAAAGAGACAAATAATTTAAAAAAGAAAAGAAAAGGCAAGAAAAAAAAGAAAACAAAAATAAAGAAAGACACGACGTCAACTCTCCCCCCTCCCCCCTCCCCACCGCCACCGCCACGCGGCGGGAAGGAAAAGAGGGGAGGAGGAAAACAAACAGTGTGAGGGGCGGCCGCCGCGCTCCGCCTTCCGCCGCGGCAACGGCAGGGCTGCTTTTGCGTATGCGTGGGAGGGAAAGAGAGAATGAAAGAAGGAGAGAGGGAGGGGTGGGCGGGAAGTGGAAAGGAGGGGGCCCACGCATGCGGGGCGCTTAGGCGTGTGCGGGGAGGCGACAACACTTGCGGCGGCGCGGAAACACCCCGCAGGAAACAACAACAACGCCGCCAAACCAAACAAACAAACAAACTAAAAAAGGCGGAGGGGAAAGAGGCAACGCAAACCGCCGGCAAAGACAACAACAACAACAACAACAACAATACACACACACAGAGAGAGAGAAGGAAAAAAAAAGAGGCAGAACTACGACCCGAGCTTCGCGCTTTTCTCCTGCGGGGCGGCAGAAGCAACACGCACGCACAAAACGCAATCAAACGAAGACGCGGGTGGTGGTGACGGGCGGCGGGCGGCGGGGGTGAAGGGAGGGGCGGCATCGCCGTGCCAAGAAAAAAAAGAGGTAAAAAAAACGAAAAAGCAAGCACCCGAAGGCTAAAGCACCGAACTTACATATTTGTTTA